CCTTATGCCTACAACCATACAGGTTGAGCCATGGATACACAGGCCACTGACCTTGTAAATCTCATTACTTTAAGGCAACTGCCAAAATAGTAGGAATCTTACTCACATCGTGGCTGCCAACTTGACACAGAAAGCTCTCTAGCTCAAGGTCAGCTTCTGAAAAGCTGTCGCCAACTTGGCGTCCTCGGCAGCTTCCACGTAGGTACGTGTTAGCGCAGGTATATCCTGTGCTAGAGACCTAAAAGGCTCCCAAGAGTCCTCGATAGGCTCTAAGCCGCACCAACTCAGTAGGAGCTCATAGACCTGTTTCTGTTCGATCCAACGATGCTTGTTAAGTCGGTTAACTTTCGACACGATGCCTTGGGAGGCAACGTGCTCCAATAGTTCCTCCGTAACTTCCAAGTCACTGTCTGCGTAGAACTTCAATCGTGAAGCGTGCACATCTTGCTCCTTGCCTGTAACCAGGTGCCGAACGCGAAACGAGTGCGAGTCCGCACGGGTAACCACGTAGGGGCCGATCCAAGTTACTAGCAGTTTGTTGTGTCGTCGCTCATCGACACGTGATCGTAGGACGTAATCACCCACAGAAAAGTTTACTTCTTGTGCACCTCTGGACTTTCTCTTGTTCAGTAATGTGGTCTTCTCACGCTTGCCCTTGACGGCACAGTGCATGTCCTCAATACTAGACCGTAGCTTCGCCAAGAGACTTTTCAATGGTAATTGAAATAGAGATTGCCTTAGGTTGATCACCAGGTACATGCAGGATATAGGCTGGTGTTGGGGCTGGTAAGCCAGTGAACACCTCAACAGTAGCCTTGTGTGCAAGAGAAGCCACCGGAGAATAGTTTATGTTAGCTTGCACCAAGGGTATCAGGTAGATCCAGTCGATGCGAGAAATCTGATACTCCATTATCATTGCACGTAGCACTTGCAGTACATTTCTATTTGCACGTTCAACGGATCCATTGATCCACGGGCTGTATGCCACTACGAACTGCTGTTCACACGTCAGCCGCTTGCATAGCTCTGCAAGTACTTCGTTCTTGAAGTGTGATCCTTGGTCACTGACCCATACCGGTGGTACACCGAACCGGCTGTACCACCCATGCAACCCATCAACTGCAACCTCACTTGTTGGTGTATCACACGCCATCAACACACAGAAATGGGTAAAGTTGTCCTTCAGTAGTAGTAGGTATTTGCATGAGCCAAATCCATCACCCAAATAGAGAAAATCCCAGTGTAAAGCTCCATTGCGAATGTCAGAGCGGTATGGTCAAGGAACCACCCTACCTCCTTTTACATGCTGGCAGAGCAAGCAGGAGCGCAGAAAACGACGAACTAGAGCAGCGATTCCTTCAATCAAAAATACACGGCGAATGTGGTTCAAGACCACGACTTCACCACGGTGACCCTGTGCCCCACAATGGGCGATGATCAGGAGTCGCTGGATGAGTGCCCTGGCAGCAGTAGGTATCCAAATACAGTCGTCAATTCGGTAGACACCATGTTCATCTGCAGCACTAGCAGTAGGAGCAGAAGCTACATGAGCCGCTTGCATAGCCGCGATTTCACTCAGTGTCGGCCACGTGAAGTTCTCTTGGTCAAGAGGCCGAAGCAGAGGCTTTCTAGAAGCTTGGGTCTGTGAGCGAGTCACTCGTTTGAAACTAGATACTGCAGTCGTAGATACCGTAGGAGTAGTAGCACCACCCCATTGACTAAGCATATCTGCCCACACGTTGTTGACACCCTCGATGTGAACGATAGTATAGCGAAACTCCATGCGTTTGACAGCCCATCGAAGTAATTTTCCACGTACGTGCTTCTTAACTTCTTGCCCAGGGGCAAAAACATGGATGAGGTTTCGGTGGTCACAAAACACCTTGAAACCACCAGGCCTCAGCAACAGGTAGTCAAGGTCTTCGCAGGAGAGCACGATTGGTAGTGCCTCCTTCTCAATGACGCTCCAGTGGAGCTGAGCGCCAGTGAACGAACCGCTCTTGCATATCAGTAGCTCATGCTCCTGTTCAGTAATTGCCACTCCTTGTTTCCATTCACCCACTTGCGTAAGGATTGAAGCCCAACTGTAGTCGCTAGCATCTGTAAACAAGCCGTAGGTGGCCTGCTCACGCGGGTGTGTCATCATGGCCGAGCTCTGCAGGAGCTTCTTGACCTGTTCGAAACTGCGGAGCTCATCATCGTCCAATCCGATGCTGATTCCTGAAGCAACACGCTTCGTCTTTCGTTTACCAGCAAGTGCACGATCCAACAGCGATTGCAACGGCCGAATGGTGCGAGCGTAGTCAACCAAACTGTCTCGCATCCAGTTCGTTGCGCAGATAAACTGCTGCAGTTGTCCCGCTGTGACTGGTACTGGCATTGAAGTGAGTCCTTCAATCGGTTTTGGGTCATGACGAACACCATTCTCATCAATCACCTTACCACACCACGTAACTGAGCGCTGGTACAACGAGGACTTCTTCAGACTCAACTTCAATCCGAATTCGTTCACCAAGTCAAACAACCGCTCTAGAGCAGCAAGGTAACTCTCTATAGTTTCAGAGTAGAACAAGAGATCATCAATCCATATAAGTAAATGGTGATCGAGTAGCTCAGCGAAACAGTTCTCCATCGAGACTTGAAAATGTAACGCCGAATCACAACTTCCTTGCATCACACGGGTTGGCGTGAACACACCCTCATCCGTCATGTACGAGAGCTGCTCTCTGCTTTCTATCGCCACAGCAAGTTGCCAAAAGCTGCGGATAAAGTCGAAAAGACCGTAGCGTTTCTTTCCTTTCAATCGCTCCAACTTTGTCTTCAAGTTAGGCATGACGCCTGCAATTGCTTCGGTCATCGCATTCAACGGCTTGTAATCCACCGCTTGGCGAAACTCATTGACCTTCGGCTTCTTAAGAGGCAG